GCGCATTCTTCCTGTGTGTAGCGCCAGGCCCTTCACACCTTGCAATGATGATGATGTATGTTGGGTCTGCATTGCGACATTGATTAGGCTGATCAGTATTTTAGCCTTCCGCTGCGCTATCTTGTACTATGTGAGAGAGGTCGGTTCTTGTTCTGGTCTGTACCATTACGGTATGCGACAGTTTGGTGTCGGAGCAGACCTCTCGATCAGAGGATCTGCGCAATCAAGGAGCCTGCTTGGGTTATTGATCGATGGATAGTTTGATGATTGCTGGAATCAAGTAGGATCCCGTTAGATCCCTGCAAAAAATTTTCTTTCTCGCAACAAATATCTGAAATTTCTGATGGTAGCATTTCGTGTTGTCTGAAAATTTCTGATATTAGCATATGTCAAATATCTGAAAATTTATGATAGTAGCATTTCGTTTTATCTGAAAATTTGAAATTTTTGATAGTGATATTAGCATTTCAAATATCTGAAAATTTCTGATAGTAGCATTTCGTTTTATCTGAAAATTTCTGATATTAGCATTTCGTTCTAAATAGCCGAAAATTTCTGATGTTAGCATCTCGCTTTCTGGGCATACAGGTTAACAAGGGAGGTTGTCATATTCTCGGAAACTGGATTTATTCTTTTCTGAAAATCGAATCTCCATTCTAGTTGGCACAGTTTTTTTTTTTCCAGGATCGAAATTTTCTTGAAAAGCCGAAATTTTGCGCAGCCTGGCCTAGATCTTAGTGATACCACTCCTCCGTAATACTTCACTAATACCAAATCGACAGATTTAAAAAAAAGAAAAAAAAAAAAGGAAGGGGGATCCTCTTCTTTTATTTTTTAATTTTATTCTGTTGATTAGGACCGGGAGGAAAGTACAGTTTGGTTGGTTACCTTCCTGCGCTCCCCTCCCACCCAACACTTTGCCTGCATTCACGGTTGGTAAGTGCCGCGTCAGCAGTGCTACGACAACAGCAGTGCCCCGTCAGCAGCATTGCCACATCAGCAGCAGTACCACGTCAGCGGCAGTGCCTCGTCAGCAGTACCACTTCAGCAGGGCCCCGCCACCATGACGGGTTCATCAGCAGTACCACGTCAGCAGGGCCCCGCCACCATGACGGGTCATCATTGGGCATGACAGGCCAACTGGCCGGCAAGTCCATTGACGAGTACCATCAGCGGTTTCTAGCTCAGCTCGCACTGATTGAGGTTGAGGTACAGCGCCAGGCGGCAGCCGAGGCAGCCCGCCTACAGGCTGAAGCAGAGGCAGCAGCTGAAAAGCAGTGGCTTCAGGCTAAAGCAGACGCAGATACCCAGGCACGCCGCAAGGAGGGCCAGGATCTGCTACAGCGGCACGAAGCTGCCAGCGTCGAAAGGCTCAAGTTCTGGCATTTTGAACCAGCTGAGGACAACGACAAGGCGACACCGGAAGAGCAGCACAAGGAGTTCCTCTCCAAACTCGTGACCCGGTTGGTTTACACTTGTAACCACCTGCAGTCCGAGTTAGAGAAACAACACCAGGAACTGGCGAACCAGCACCAGGAACTGGCAAATCTCCGACAGACAGTGCAGAACCACAAGGATCTGCACAAGGATGCTACACGAGCACTTCATTCCCGTGTACAGGACTTGGAGCAAGTTGCACCAAGACCAGATGTTGGTGAGTCCAGGAGTGCACCCTCAACCCGCCAATTGGAGGAACGAGTTGACCATGTAGTCGCAATGCTCGGCGACATCAGCACCTTCGCCGCACCAGCCACCATCAGCGAGCAGCTCGACACCTTGCAGACCGAGCTCAGGCAGCTACACCAGCCGCCCGATAACGATCGCAGCACATCGAAGCACGACAAGATGCCGACGTTCGGGATCGAGAAATCTGACGACTATACGCATCAGGACCCTGTCGTCTGGTGGGACTGTTTTACAACGGAGCTTGGGATTCACGAGGTCCCCGAATACTTGTTCATCTCGGCGTTGTTCCTCAACATCAAGGGTGGATGCCAGATTTGGCTCAGCCACATGGCAACCATCTACGGCGTCCAGGTCAACCATCCATACAAGAAGATCTCCTCGGAAGATCTGATGAGAGAATGGAAGAAGTGGTTCATCGTTGATGACGCCCCGACGCTCGCCATCAACCGCCTCTTCACCATGACTCAAGGCAACACACCGACACGCGATTGGCTCACGAAATGGCAAAAGATCGTGGCAACGCCCGATCTCGAGTTGCCATTTTCACATCTGCGCCGAGAGTTCTATAACCGGTCGTGTGCCGCCTTGAGCCTCGCACTTGGTGATCGTGAGCAGTACATGACCTTGCCGAAATTATCGACAAGGCGCGGGAGATCATCAAGGCCAACCGGGCTGCTGCACACAAGAAGTCAGCGTGGCAGCCAACCTATGTGGAGAAAGGAAAATTTGGTCCACGTCCGCAGCATGTCGTTGCAGTCCAACCAGACAACATTGTGGAAGACCCGACAGCCACCTCAGCATCACGTGAGGGAGATCAGGTGGCCGCTGTCCAGCTGTGAAGCAACAACAACTCCCGTGGAAAAGGGAACGCAAAAACCGCATCGCCAACTGGAAACGGACAGCCAGTACCATGGGTCAAGTTTAACTTCACTGAGGCCGAATACAAGTGGCACAGCTGGTATGGTTGCTGCTATTGGTGCAACAGCACCAAGCACAAGACCTCCCAATGCCCGGATCAAGGCAAGGAGGACGTTCAACCTTGACTCAGCTCGGGCAACTAAGTTGCGCAGGAGGTGAGGCGACTCCACCTCTCACTCTGCCAGATTCGGCTGCCTTGCTACCGACCTCCTACACATCTGGGGAGATTGCGGATGTTGCGAGTCCTCGGTTCACTTACGAGGATTACGCTGTCCACTTGGTCCCACTGTTGGACCAACCACTCCACGTGCAACAATCCATCACATGCACGGTTTCATCACCATCGACAACCAATTCGGCAGCTTCGCCGCCAACTTCAGTCGGGGATTCGACGTCATGGTCAAGACTTGAAGAACTCGACCCGTTGACGTTCGCGGACTTCCAATGGATGACCCTTTCCCCGTCCGGTGGATTGCCGAAACCGCATTGCAACGTGCTCATGGCACAATTGCGGGATTACTTGCACACTGCAGTACCAACTTCGTTGATGGAAGTCGGGGTAGAGGTTGTTGACCTTCACGACTACGTTGCGAAGATCGACCACGAGTTCAAGACACAACGGTACGACGACATCGACGCGCCATTGTTGTACATACGCATTCAGATCGGAGAAGCGACCTGCAACACTTTGATCGATTGCGGAGCTATTCGCAACTACATGAGCCAAGACTTCATGGTACGGGCTGGCCTAGGGCCACGCGTTCGGAGGAAGTCACAGCCTACGCAAGTCATGTTGGCCGATGGTCACACACACAAGTCCATCGACCGGTGCACTGATTCCGTCCCCGTGTACTTCGCCCGCATGCAAGCGAGGCCGTGTCCTTTGACATTTTGGACACCCAGTTAGACGTGATCTTGGGCATGTCATGGCTGCGAAGCGAGGATCACCCGGTAAACTTCTACCACTGCACCGTTCACGTCCGTGATCGGAACGGAGTACTAGTCCCATGCACGGTGCCTCCTCCTCACCCTTCGATCAGCTGCCACGTGGTGTCCGCCGCAAGCATTCGAGCTTCCATCACCAGGGACGACATCAAGGAGATGGGGGGGTGTTTTCTCCACGTCCTCCCTCCCCATGACATTCCATCGACGGACTCATCACCTGACCATCGCATCATCGAGCTTCTTGACGCCTACGGCGACGTGTTCGAAGTCTCGCACGGAGTAGTACCGGATTGGCCCATCCGCCACGAAATCATCCTCGAGGCCGGGGCCGTACCTCCGCGTGGTTGCATCTACCGCATGAGCGAGGAAGAGTTAAGTGTGCTACGGGCACAACTCGACGACCTTCTTGAGAAAGGTTGGATTCGGCCTAGCTCTTCGCCATACGGCGCTCCCGTTCTCTTCGTCTGGAAGAAGAACAAGGACTTGCGGTTGTGCATCGATTATCGCAAGCTCAACGCTCAAACTGTCAAGAACGCCGGCCCTCTTCCGCTCATCGATGACCTCCTCGAACGGCTGGGCGGCGCCAAGTTCTTCTCGAAGCTTGACCTCAAATCGGGATATCACCAACTCGAGATCCGGCAGGAGGACCGCTACAAGACCGCGTTTAAGACTCGATATGGGCATTTCGAATGGTTGGTTATGCCTTTTGGCCTTACGAATGCCCCGGCCACATTCCAAGTGACTATGACAACGGAGTTCCGACACATGCTGTATAGATTCGTATTGATCTACCTCGACGATGTATTGGTGTATAGCCGGAGTTTGGACGACCATGTGGAGCACCTGCGCACCGTTTTTGAGCGGCTACGACAGGCCAAGTACAAAGCCAACCACGACAAATGTGAATTCGCACGGCAAGAGATGGAGTACTTGGGACACTATGTGACGCCGCAAGGCATCCGTCTGCTCGCGGACAAGATTGAGGCCATCCGCGTATGGCCCGAGCCCACCAACACCACGGACGTTCGCTCATTCATGGGGTTGGCAGGCTACTATCAACGCTTCATCACCGGATACTCAAGGATCACCGCACCATTAACGAGACTACAATTGCCAAAGGTGCCATTGGTATTCGACGACGACGAGCGCCGGTCATTCCAAGCACTCAAGACGACTATGCTCATGGCACCCGTCCTTAGCATCTACGACCCCATCTTGCCAACAAGAGTCACGACTGATGCTTCTAGCTATGGCATTGGGGCAGTCTTGGAACAACAAGACGGCGACAATTGGCACCCACTTGAGTATTTCAGCCACAAAGTGCCTCCCATCAACTCACTTGATGATGCAAGGAAGAAGGAACTACTTGCATTCGTGATGACTCTCAAGCGTTGGCGGCACTTCCTCCTTGGGCGTTATAGGTTCACATGGGTCACTGACAACAACCCGTTGACCTACTATAGGATGCAGGATACGGTGAGAAGCACGATCAGGGGCGACCAATTTGACTTCACATCGAAACATCTCTCCGGCCTCTCCAATCGCGCAGCAGATGCACTCTCGAGAAACCCGATCTTTGCGCTATGACACATCATGCCTTCTCGTTTGACGAGGAACTCCAGCGGCACTTCATCCGGGGCGATGAGTCCGATTCGGATTTCGCCACGCTCTACGCGCAGCTATCTTCGGATCACCCGCCGGCCAGCCACTATCGCATTGTCGACGGGTACTTGCTCCTCCACTCGCGAGGCAAAGACTTGTTGTGTGTCCCACAAAACCATCGTCTTCGGACTCGCCTTCTCGGCGAGTACCACGACTCGCGACTTGGTGTCCATTTCGGGGTCAATCGGACTATCGCACGACTTCGGCAACGATTCCGGTGGCCCGACCTCGTTACCGATGTCACTCGGTATTGCGACTCTTGCGAAGTTTGCCGACGAAGCAAGCCCCGCAACCGCAATCCCTACGGCGAGTTGCGCCCGTTGCCTATCCCACGGGAACCCGACCTCTCCATTGCCATGGACGTCACCGGTCTGTTTCCCCGCGACCGCCTCGGGCACGACGACATCCTCACGGTCGTTGACCGATTAAGTAAATACGCGCGATTTCTCCCTTGCAAGTACTACGCCACGACTCCCGAACTTGCGCGCCTCTTGCACACCGGCTGAATTTGCAGCCACGTCGTACCGGAAGACATTGCTAGCGACCGTGACACTCGTTTCATGTCGACACTCTGGACTTCCTTCATGCAGGAATCCGGCACAAAAATGAAACCAAGTTCGGCTCGGCATCCACAAACGGATGGGCAAACGGAGCGGGCACATCAAACCGCTCAAATGATCCTTCGTACTCTCATCCATTTGGATCAGAAGGATTGGGTTGACCGCCTCCCCGACATCGAGTTCGCCTACAACACTTCGTTGCATCCGGCGATCGACTTGAATCCATTCGAGTTACACCACGATGGTTGGAAAGGCCGGATCTTCGCTGATCTTCTCCTCGTACGAACAACCGACATGGACGCAACTTGCTCTCCCGCCTCCGACCGGAAATACAGAGAATTGTTGACTCAAGCCCACGCGAACATGCAAAAGGCTCAAGTCCGCATGCAGCAGCAAGCCAACAAGCGTCGCGTGCCATGTCCCATCCGCGCCGATGATCTGGTTTGGGTCTCCGCGGAAGAGTTTGCGCTCGAACAGGATGTTTCACGCAAACTACTCCCCAAGTGGTTTGGACCATGGACCGTCCTTTCAGCCGCAGGCGACGAGCCTGATGGCCCATCCTTTGTGATCGACATCCCTCCGCATCTGCCGGTCCATCTAGTCTTTCACGCCTCGAAGCTGGCTACATACACACCAGCTAAGAGCGACGATTTCCCGGGCCGACGATCGCAAGACCCTCCGTCTATGGATGGTCATCAGGAAGTCGACCGCGTCATCACGAATCGCAAGTACGGCAGCAAGCCTCGACAGTACAAAATTACCTTCAAAGCATGCGATCCCGACGACACTCGATGGATTTCAGGAGCAGATTTGAAAGCATCCGCACCGCTGATCTACGCTCACTACGAACAACAAAGGTTAGCTAAAGAAGCTTCACGACCTGCCCCTCCCACCCAAACTTTGGTCCCTCCCTCAGACAGGCAGCTTCGCCCTCGCAGGTAAGCTCAGTCTTTCAAGGAGGGGGGAGTGTGGCATACTGTGCAGCCTCACGGGCTTGCAAGGCCCGACCAGACGGAAAATCAGGGCCTTCCAGGCCCTGTGTCGTTTCAGCCTAAAAAAGGGCCCTCCAGGCCCTGAGTCTTTCCAGCCTGAAACGGAGGGCCGTTTTCGGGCCCTCATAAGATCGACCTGCCCTGAAACTTAGGCACCAGACCAGAGTTTTATCACAGGCCATTTTGGGCCTGTTCTCAAGACAACCTTTGTTTGGGTCTGGCACGTTTTGGCATTGGCAAGAGCAGCCTCCTGGATGGGCCAGCACTATATAGAACTGGCCGGCCTTGCAGGCTGCTCATAGGGACTT